GCCCCCTGCAGGGGGCAGTCCATATCCAAACCGGGGAGGTAGACCCATTCTATCTGGGGTGGAGAGGAACCGACAGCCAAGATTCGACCCAGGGCCCACCCGGCCGGCAGGCCAACTCCCCCGCCGCGGGGAGGCCATACCCCCAACCACCCCCACACCCAATCGACAACCAGGTGCCCGCCCCCAGCCGGCCGGCCGCCGAACCCAGACTGCCACCCCCAGACAGGACACCGACCAACCACAGCAATCAGGAGCCATGGTCAGGGGGTCCAAACGGCCCCAGGGAGCGTGGAGCGGCGGAACCTCCCCAGAAACCCCCCGGGCCCCAAACCCTCCTGTTTTTGTACATTTGAAGAAATGAACAGGGGAACAAAAGAATCCTGTTTCAGATATCTAAATCAAGGGTCTGCAGCTTTTACAATCAAAAGAGCCATTTTCACTCATAATTCACTAATAAAATGAGTCCAGAGCTGCAAAATGTGCTACAACTGTGATTATCAACTGGTGGCCCGTGGGCCACTTTGAGTTTGTGGGGGGCTGTTTCTGGCCAGTGTGTGGGCAATAAAATGAAACTAAAAATATAGCAAATTTTTATGCTTACTATTATTTTTACACTTTCAGACAAAAGAAAAGACAATATTCATGTTAACAAAAACCAATATATAGTTCATGACAAATTTTAATAAAAGGTAAAACAGTGAATTATGCAAAGGCATTGTGTTTTTCCTAATACTTTTTATCTAATCAACTCACTATATTTCCTCTCAGCAACTTGTTGCCAAGAAATCCTGATGGATTTGAGAGAAATATCATCCTGTARGGTTGGAAATTGAATTAGAAGTGGCCAATAAACTAGATCAACTAAACGTGTTTCACTTCTTGAATTAGTAATATTGATCATGTATTTTTAAACCAGTTGACAGGAAAACTGCTACAGCTAGTCTGTTCTGTTGTGTTAAAAAAAAACAAAAAAATCAAATCTCATGTAAATTTTGGTCAAAGAGATGCTGCCGAGGAACAAAAGGTTGCAGACCAAAGTTGGTGAAACTTTCAGCAATTATTCTAATATCTGCTTTAGAGTAAAATTTATTTTAAAGTTATTTATTGTATTTTCTAGGACTGTGTAGTTGAGGGTTGTTTGCAGGTGGACCCAAAATACAGGCAAATGCAAAGAGCTTAAAGTGAACTTATCATAAAAGAAAGAAAACAAAGCTGATGTGGCAACAATCTGAACAAGATCATAACACCAGATAAAAAATAGGATCTGAGATAAATAAACAAAATAACTGAGTGTGAACTGAAGACCAACAATGCCAAAGTGCAGAGGAGAGGAAACAGACTGCAGGTAAGAACTGAACTGATGAACAGAATAAGAAACATCTGAGATGACAGCAACCCGGAACAAAGTGAGAGTGGGTGTGGCWGGCTGGGGGAGTGGGAGGAACTGACTGAGGATGCGTGAGAGATGAGGCCCACAAGGGAGCTACACAGTAAACAAAAACACAAAAAGAAGTACACACAAAAACATAACCGAACCTAACCATGAACCGCAACAAGTACAAACAAAACACGATGACTAAAAGAGAACAGAAACTGATCTAAAATACAAAGAATTATCTAAAAGTAATGAAAATACACAAATCCTAACAAAGACTTTATAACCCAGCTTTGCTCTTTTTAAGAGCTTTGGCCTTGTTTTTAAGGTCCCTTTCAATTTTCTCCTACAGATATCCTCAAGCTTTTGTTGCCCTTTAGTATTTTTAAACTCACATTCATTTATTTTCTTCACCTGCCGGATCCTGCTCATGGTTGTGGGATGTTGCAACTAATGTGTTTTTATAACGCAATTTTGCTTGTGTTTTTGAACAATAATTGATTACATGTGTTAGAGTTTCTTCAGCAAAAGAGTATCAAACATCTCTTCTTTGGCACCCTTAGAGCAACACACAATACTTAACAAGTATTGAATTAGCAGAAACTATTGATGCTAAGGGGGAGAAAGAGAGGCAGTAAACAAACTGACAGATCAGAGTCGATCATACCATCATACATTGATGTTTCTATATGTCTTCCCTAAAGCTACTCAAGGGGTCAGAGAAATGCACCTGTTCAGTATCTATGGCCTTTTTTTTTTATATACCAAAACTGACTGAATGAATAAAGACTTAAAAAGAAGCTAAACAGTAAACAGCAAATGGCCTGAACCTGTATAGATCTTTATCAAGTCCAAGGACTCCAAAGTGTTTTGYGCTTCAAGACCATTTACTCTGCATCTTRAATRAAGGCAGWCGAAYTGCCGAAATCGTGCAGAACTGTWGAAGTTTCATGACAAAAATTGTGTCATTCTGTTTGCATTGTTGAAATTTCGGCACCTTTTTGTCACGAATTGTTCTTGAACCTTGCTGAGACAGTATTTGATTTTCCAAAGCAGTTTTACAGCATTTTTCAATGTGAGTCAATGCTACTCCCAGATCCCAATAAATACCATAGTTATTTTTTGAATACTTTTAATTGATACAAACATCAAATATCAGCTATCTGTTTTCTGGTTTGTGCAAAGCCAGTTGGGTTCAAACCTTCCTTACGGCAGATGTGAAGCTATTCCGCTACTCATAGGACACCAGAACCAACTCAGGAAATATAATTTGTTGCTGAGACAGACGCAGTGACTAAACTGAGCTGGTTCAGGGATCTTGGTAAATACATTTCACTCATTATTTCTTTTAAAGCTC